AGGCAGCCACGTTGCACTATCTAGTTGACACAAAATGAATTTCAGCCAGCTAAGTTGCCCACAGGAGAATTCCTCCTGTGCAGGGGGAATTTCCATTGCTGTAAAGCTAGCACTGCAGAGGTGATGTAGTTGCCTCCTATGATTGATGTGCACCCTAACTCAATGTACGGGGAAGAACGGGATGTGCTGGGGGTGGCAGGGAGCATGGTGGTGCTGAGCTCTACTACACTGATCCTCTGCTAGTGTGGACTCCTTATGGAGCTTATGCTACTTGCAGAAATTAGAGTCGGCCACTTGTTGCTCTAACTTCTGCCAGTGCTGGGCATCCAAGGTTCGTGGAGTCATAAGCAATTTCCTGCCTCTGCCATGGTCCATAACATCTGCTCATACAAAGTGGAGAACCAGGGCCTCTGTCTTTGATAGAAACATATGCCTTGATAACGAACAAACATTTTGCATTCTTCCTGACGCTGTGATGCTTGCAGCCTGGCAAGTAATTATTTAGTCAATGTATTATAGTAAGGTATTACAGTCTTCTTTACTCATGCCTAATATGCAAAGTGATTTATAACCTTGTCATCAAGGCAGAAATAAATAAATAAATAAATACAAAATACAGCACAATGCTTTATTTACAGGGGGCTGTTGTGAAGGCTGAAATTATAACTGGGTTAAAAATGAGATAAATTCACGGAGGATAGGTCCATCAATAGCTGATACCCAAGATGATCAGGGATGCAACCCCAAGGTCTGGGTATCCTAAGCTTTGCCATCCTGTATCACCACAGGGCTTTATAATCTATAGATCATGTAATAATTTCATTTAGCAGCAGAATAAAAATCAAATTAGTTGCACTAATTTGACGATTTATAGTAATCTGGATTACTGCAGTTTTCTACAGATTGTATTAGCATGATAATGTTATTTCTGCCACTGGGATTCTGGTGGTATCACTCTTTGTTTTATTAGTTTACATTCATAGAATCATTATGAAAGCTGAGTACTTAAACTCCAAGAGAAATCGGTTTGTAAATATTTTAAGTAATGTGGAGGGTTCATGGCCATAACATCAGATGCATTGCATTTCCTTTCCTGGCTCCTCCCCATTCAAGACAACTTCAACTACTGTATTTTCAAAAGTATTCAGCTCACATACTCTGCTGCCTTCTCCAGACCTGTGTAGTTTGAAAGCCTGTACCTTCCACCAATAGAAGTTGGTCCAATAAATGATATTACCTCACTTACCTTGTCTCCCTTTGTTTAAGGGCTGGATGGACCTTTGATCTGACCCAGTATGGCCGTTCTTATGTAGTGGTACAACCAAGAAAGGTAGAGTTGCTACCTGCTTTTCAGTTCCCTCTAGAATTAGGCAGGGGTGGGTGCGTCGGGGACATGTTTATGTGCACAAGGATATCCCTTGAATCCTTCAGGGATGACACTTTCATGGAGGTACTCTACAATTCTCCATTGATGGTTTCTAATCAGGACTGCCTTATTTCTTTTGCCAGGGTAGGATGCTTTCCCACACCACTCAGTGCTAACTTCAGCAGAAACCATTACAGTACAGGTTTCAGAGTAACAGCCGTGTTAGTCTGTATTCGTAAAAAGAAAAGGAGTACTTGTGGCACCTTAGAGACTAACCAATTTATTTGAGCATAAGCTTTTGTGAGCTACAGCTCACTTCATCGGATGCATACTGTGGAAAATACAGAAGATTTTTGTTTTTATACACACAAATCATGAAAAAATGGGTGTTTATCACTACAAAAGGTTTTCTCTCCCCCCACCCCACTCTCCTGCTGGTAATAGCTTATGTAGCTCACGAAAGCTTATGCTCAAATAAATTGGTTAGTCTCTAAGGTGCCACAAGTCCTCCTTTTCTCATTACAGTACATAGGCTAGCAGCATATGGACCTGGGTGGCTTCAGGACGCCTGCAGCAGCTGTGTCATCTCTGCCTTCTTTACCTTATGGAGCATAGGCACCAACTTCTCCTGGCGCCCGGTGCGTGCCCGCACCTCTCCACCCTGCCCTGCCCCCTCCCGCAAAGTCCATGCCCCAAATCCACCCCCTCCCTGCCGCTATTGGATTCCTTCCCCAAATCCCTGCCCCAGCCCTGCCTCTTCCCCGCCTCCTCCCCTGAGTGCGCCGTATTCCCGCTCCTCCCCCCTCCCTCCCACAGCTTTTTACACTGAGAAACAGCTGTTTCACGGCGGCAAGTGCTGGGAGGAGAAGCGGGGATGGAGTGCTCAAGGGAGGAGGCGGAGGTGAGCTGGGGTGGGGAGCTTGGCTGCCGGTGGGTGCAGAGCACCCACCAATTTTTCCCTATGGGTGCTCCAGCCCCAGAGCACCCATGGAGTCGGTGCCTGTGCTCTGGAGGGAGATCTCAACTAAAATCATCACCACCTGTGGAAAACAGGGCCAATATTCAATGCCATTGCCCTATACTACTAGAATCATGTAACCGAACAATTCCCTCACTTAGGAAAGGGATAGCTAATAAGACAGAAAATATCATAATGCCACTATATGAATCCATGGTACACCCACACCTTGACTATTGTATGCAGTTCTGGTCACCCTCCATCTCAAAAAAGGTGTATTAGAATTGTAAAAGGTACAGAGAAGGGCAACAAAAATGATTAGAGGTATGGGAAGGCTGCTAGCTGAGGCGAGATTAAAAAGACTGGGACAAAAGAGATGACTAACGGGGTATATGATAGAAGTATGTAAAATCACGAATGGTGTGGAGAAAGTGAGTAAGGAAATGTTATTTACCCCTTCACATAACACACCCAATTAAATTACGAGGCAGCAGATTTAAAACAAATAAAAGGAAGTACTGCTTCACACAAGGCGCAGTCAACCTGTGGAAAGCATTGCCAGGGGACGTTTTTGAAGGCCAAAATTATAACTGGGTTAAAAAAAATGAGATAAGTTCACAGAGAATAGGTCCATCAATAAATGATCAGGGATGCAACCCCATGATCTAACTATCCTAAGCTTTTAACTGCCAGAAGCTGGGAGTGAACAACAGGGGATGGATCACTTAATAATTGGCCCGTTCTGTTCATTCCTTCTGAAGCATCTGGCACTGGCCACAGTCAGAAAACAGGATACTGGGCTAGATGGACCATTGGTCTGACCCAGTTTGGCAGATCTCATTTTCTTAATACATGATGAATGGGCAAGGGAGACAGTGGTGAGTTGTGCTCATCAGCTGCTGAGCCATTTGCTCATGAATATAGGAGACTTTGCTCCTATGCCACTCCCATTTTCTCTGTAGGGCCCTTAAACCCAGCAGGTGTGTGACTGTGAGAAAAATCACAAAACATAGGGGAGGACTGCTTTGTGGTCCTACAAGGATGTGAAGCATTTTGGCTTAGATTTTGATTGGCCCTTGCACAGATATGCAAGGACAAAAGGACAAGCATGAAGGTGCACCCATCTCTCTACCCTTGTGTGGCTGTTCACAAGAGCTGCCCCCCCACCCCGAGGATGAAGCTGGTGAAAAGGGTAGTAAGAGTGAGGGTGGGGTTTTTGGGAGAATGTTCTAGGCCAACCTAATGGCTAACTGAGCTGCGTATCCCCTGTGTTCAGGGAGCAGTCCCGACAGGGATTGGGTTCTTGGAAGCACAGGTTTTCTGGTACTCCAGCTGAGCTATGTGGTTCTCCATCTCTCCCTACTCAAGGCTGTGGTGTTAAAGCCACAATCTAGTCCTTCATAGGTTACTCTGACTTTTAGGCCCAGGTGAAAAGAAGGCCCAAGCCTGTTATGTGACATCAGCCTGGACACCCTCCCCTGCTCCCAATACTAATGCACTTTCTAGGATTCCTCAAAATGCCAGGGAGTTCACCAAGTGTCCCGTGGTCTCTGTTCATCCACTGAACTACCCAAGAGCCTGTTGCATTATAGCTCCCAGAAGCTACTTCATCCTTGATGAACTTTATTTCAACTGGTTCTCACTATGGACTGTGCTAGAGATCTAAAGGGCTGGCAGGTGTCCAGAAATCCTACTCCACTGCCTCTCCCAGAGGAAGGCTGCCAGATGTCATCCTGCAAATAAATGAGCACTGTGAATTGCACAAGATAGAATGTTCAAAGTTGCTGCCATCCACTAGCTGGGTGTGGAAGTTTAATAGTCACACAAAGCATTAGAAGTTTGAGGACTATAGAATTTGCAAGTGCATATTAACAATTTGGAAAAAATTCAGCCTAAGGGCACTGAACCTATTAGCTTGCTAGTTCTCTGATCTTCTTTTGTAGAATAGGAGTGCCCAAGTACTTCTGCTCATTGCTCTATACAATAATACAACACCTCCACCTATATACCTATCTGTGCATTTTTCAGGTATAATTTAGGTCTGCACTTACCTGAGGAAGGATGCTCTTGTGGCAAAGACATTGGACTGAGAATCAAGAGACCTCGGTTGACTCCCAACTCCTGCCACAGATATCTTGTGGGATGCTGGTCAGGTCACTTAGGCTCTGATTCAACAAAATGTTTAAGTCTGTGTTAACTCCAAATTAATTAACTTTTCCCACTGACATCAGTGGGACTGGTCATTAGTTGAAAGTGAGGCCCATGCTTAAATACTGTGCTGAATCTCCGTCTTGATCTCTGTGTGCCTCAACTCCTTATATGTAAAATGGGGATAATAATATCTCCTTACTATGACCCTTTGTCTGTATGGTCTACTTAGATTTTAAGCTCTTTGGGGCATGGACTTTGTTTACTCTGTGTATGCACAGAATGTATCACAATGGGGCTTCAGTCTCTGTTGAGGCAACGAGGTGCTGTTGTAATGCAAATAATTAATAATTATCTATACTTATAATAGAAGTAATAGAAATGTAGGACTTGAGGAGACCTGGAGAGGTCATCGAATCCATCCCCCAATTCTGATATCATTATAAAGTAACAATAGATCATTTAAAATGTGTATTTTTCAGATCTGTAACGAGAATCAAGACAGAAAGAATACTAAAGAAAATGACATCCGTTTAAGTCTTTTTTTTATATTTCACACTCAGAAGACTTAGTTACATAAAGTGACTTATATGAGGAGCTGATTATCAGTAGTACAAGGATGATACATTAGTGTGAAAGAGAATACACAAGCACAGTGAAAAGTTCTGTAGTTATAGAGAAGTAATACATTTGACAGGAAGGGATTATTTCCAAGAGCCTATGTATAAATAAATATAGCTTTCATACTATGTACAAACTTGTATTCAGAGAATATATCAATGCAGAGTTATAGTACAGTTTCATTCAGTGAATAAGGATCAATACATACACACCCACACACACACTCACAAGCTTGTAATTATCTCGGGGCTACATGAATCGGTTTTCCATGACAAAAGATTATTTTATATAAATAAATAAATAAATAAATAAGGCTAGGGCTCCAGATTTTTTTTCCTTTAAGTTAAAAATAAAGGAAGGAAGAGTTTGAAAACTGCTGCATTTAAAAAAAAATACTTTATTACAAAAATAACATCTAGTTGTCATTTATAACATACTACTAAATTTTTCAAGTGACAACATATGGGCCTGATCTTGCAAATTCTTACTAACATAAGTAGTTCTTACTCCTGTGAGTAGCCTCATTGGATTCAGGATTGCAGGAGGCCGCCCATTATGAGGAACTGAGACCAGATAACAAAAACAAAAAAGTAACATCTGCAATGCTTATTTTTGACAATAATTTCAAAGTTGTTGCGATGCAGCAGATAGTTTGACCCTGGAGAATTTAAGATACTCTAGGAATTATGTGATAGAAGTATCATAGTGTCTGTAAACTTAAAACACAAGGTGCTTATTTTACTGAGGTTTCATTTGGGGAATATATTAGAGTAGTGATGTGACTTAATTGCCATATTAGGCCTGAGACTGAATTCTTTGCAAACCCAAAACATCCAGGTTTGGGTGTACAAGGACTGCAGCATTGCTGCAGGATTAAATGCCTTGCTGCAAAATAATGCATATCATTTTGTAAAGTCATGCTGCAAATATTAAGAATATGGGCAAATTCTGCTCTCTCTTACCTCATTGTCTTTAGTAAAGTTGTGCTTGTGTAACTGAGGGTAGAAGATGGAACAGCGTATATGTGTTATTCTACCTAGCTGAGGTCATTATGTTAATTACCACGTTAACATTTGATTCCTGTTTTGTCTTTTTTTTCATCAGAAGATAGGATTGTCTCATATTTGTAAGAAAGTGTCAGCATTTTGATAACATATGATGACTGACTTAACAAGATTTTATATTAAACATTATGTAACAGAGACGCATAATAGATTATTTATTTAAAAATTAATGCCCATATTCAGAAATCCAAAAATGAGCTGTCTTTTCTTAAATGGCCTTACTTTACACTAAGAATATTATGCAACGTAAAATACTATAAAGTGCAATATCTTTAAACATACATACACATTTCATTTGGGTTACTCTGGTTTGATGATAGGGAGAATTCGCTGTAAATCTATACTCATGTACAGTAGCGTTACCCACTCCTAACTCATATACATAGTGTGTGTGTGCGCACATATATGTGTTAGGAGTGGGTAAACCTACTGTACATGAGGTTTTATATATATAAACGTCTTATTCTGCAGGGCATCTTGTTTAGAGCTATTTAGTCTTCATGAAATTATGAATAAAAACACACAATAGGCCTAGTACGAGCTTTGTCTACATAAGGAGTATGGGACCATCTTATATATGGCATTTATGTCGTATGGGTACAATGATTTGTATAACTTTGGTCTGGAAGGTTTTGGTCGGCTACTTCTTGATTTCATTCATACAGGAAGTGATTAAGACCGATACTCTGACATTTCTGTACTTATGGTAACAAATTAAGAAGGCTCATTTTGATGAGTGAAATTAACTCCTGTGCAGAAGGCCAGTGCAAAATCTATGCACAACTTGAATCAACCTTAAATGCTCAAATTAGGATAAAAAACTTCTAGGCTAAAGTTATTCAAATTATTTTATACATTTGCGATACCTCAAGCTACCCATCTCATTCATATTAAACTTCCCAGGAAACAGAAAAATATGAAACAGAATCAATTGGTCCAAGAAAAACACACTCACTATCAATTTATTAATTGCTTAATCTTATTTACAAGGGAAGGAAAACAACTTCCCAAAATACAAGTGTTTAAACTATTACATCTATCTGTAATTAGTGTTGATTATATGCTCTAAACTGTCCCTGTATATATTTTACGTTGTCTATTTTTCTCTTCAATAAAATGTACACAACTCCCTTTACAATTACACCTATTTTGCCTGTGTGTCAAAACCACATAGATTCCAGGGGTAAAATCCAGGCCTCACAGACGTCCATGGCAAAATTTCTGTTGATTTCAGTGGGACCTGGATTTCACACCCGGACATGGTGTGTCCTGATTCATACCCTCATGCAAATCCATTAGCTTCAATGAACTGACTAGTTAAGAGCAAGATAATATTAGGCCAAAACCAGACAATATTGAACTGGTCAGCAGAGTCAGACTCAGTATCTAAAACCATTGGGGTCTAACTCTTCTTTCAGGGAGCATGCATAATTTGTTTACTCAACAAGATGATCTCAGTCTTTCCCAATTCCTTATAAAAAAAATTCACAATGTTTATATGGATAAACAGCATTTCTTAAAATCAATGTCACCCAAAATAATGACAGTCAAATAAATATTTTATCTTTTTTGCTACATCCATTAGGTCCAATTCTGCTCTCATTTACACCTTTGAAACCCCAGTGATTTCAGTATGGGTGTAATGGAACAAAATTTGTCCCAGCCTGTTTATTTCTAATATCAAACAGCATATTAATGGAACTCCATGAAGTCAGAGCTCCAAGGTACTTAAATTTTTTTTTCTACTCCCATTAGCTTTGCACAGCCAATACAGTTATTAATGAGTGAGTTGGCTTCTGTTCCTTTCTGTGCATCAACAAGTGTTTACGACATTCCAATCCAACCTGTGTAATGTAACATTACTGAAGGCAATGTGGTTGCCTAAATGTCACTGAAAGCCTAATTTGGCCTGCAGAAACTTTATTACAGGTTATGACATGTGAGAAAGAAAGAACTAAGCTTGAATCTCGGATCCTAGGCTGAGTTTTAAGGCTGACAGTTAGAAAATAAGCGTGATATAGAATCAATGACCCAATAAATATGGAATGACATGATGCCATTTTTCAGAATCCCTGTTAAGCAGCCATATTTCCCATATTCCTTGAAAGATATAGTGGAAAAAACGATAGGTGCATAAAATATCCCATTTAAAAAGTTTTCTAGGGACTTCAAATCTTTATAGAATTCAGGGTAATCACATATGTAACTTATTTTCTGGTAGATCTTTATGTATAGTGATAACAGTAATACTGTATTAGTATAGTGACCACAAAATTCTTCAGAGTATGTGATGCACGCTACATGGTAGGTGCATTACCATAACCGATATTATACATGACCTCTTGATAAGCATCTGAATAACTTGTGTCACCAGCGTATTTTAATTCTATGCTCTAGGAACATGTAGACAGTGAGATCAATTGACCAAACAAGCAGAATACAGACAGGCACACAGACACAGAAGGACTCTCTGCATTTGGAAACTAAACTGGCTCACAGTAAAATGTTACAGTTAATGTTGCCTGAACTGTTTGTTCCTGTAAAGATTTTTGCATGTTGACACAGCAGTATCTCCAAGCACCACAGTTCAATGCATCCAAATTACCCACCCCAGAGTTCCCAGCACAGTTGTCTGCGCAACTGGTGTTTTTCTGTAACTAGCAAACACTTGTAGGACCTAAGCAGAATTTTGCAAATATGGGGCCAGAGCCTCAAATGGTAGAAACTGGCGTAGTCCCACTGAAGTTAGTGGAGCTATGCAGATTTGCATTATCTGGTAATCTGGCCCATGATACCATTTAAGTTCTATGGGAACTTAGGTGGTTTCTCGCAAGAATTGTGTCCATTTCTAGTAATGTCAAATGGAGTTGTGCTAAAGTAATGCATTTGGGTTATTCAACTTCACGTTTTAGGATCAGGCTCTGATTTCACTTATACTAATATAAATCTGGAGTTATTTGGGATTGACACTTCTAGAAATGAGAACAAAATTTGGGCCACAGCACCAACGTATATGTTAATTTATACTCAGACAGCCTCCATGAGGTAGCCAATGGGGTGTAAGTCAGTACAGAATTTTGGCTCTGTAGGCTTGATCCTGCAATTACTATGCAGGTTCAAATCCCCATAGGAGTCATTTAGAGTTTTACCTGTATGAGGCCGGCAGGAACCTATGTTTACTGTTTGGGGTAAAAAACTCAGAAATGTATATGGGAGTGATTAATTACCTTACTGATTGTATGATTGTTAATCATACTACATTACAGCCAGATTCTGAAACCCTTATGCACGAATAACAACTTACTCATTGAATAGAGTCATCGATTTCAATGGGACTGGTCACAGAATAAGGTGTAGCTTAATGTAAAGATATGAGAATTTGGCTCCTAGTAAATTTGCTACAGTTGTAAAACTGAGATTTCCTATCAGATATCATACATTTTTCACAAAAATGAATCTGAAGCCTGGACTTATTATGGATTTTCAATAAATTGAGTTACAGCAAATTTATGATGTCCTGTCAGCTCTCCAGTTTCAAGACTTTCAAATTCTTTCTCTGTGTGATGAAGAGACATGTTTCCCTTCCAATGCCAATTCTTTCCTTCCTGTACCAATAAAGCTATTGACTAATAATGGAAGAGAACATCAAGAAGACAGTCTCCTGAAATAGTTTACTCAGCCAGTTATGTAAAAGGCTGTCTTGATAAGTATTATAATCAGCTTTCACAGCCAGCTTCCATAAAACATTAGATTACTTCACAGAAAACACCCAGAGAGCAGAGCTGTCTCCTATTACCGCTGGACCAGAGCTGCCACCCACAGCACTATTATGCCATCATTTGAATAATGATTTGCCTGATATACACAAGGCAGCAGAACCTGCGAGTTTTCTTGTTCTTGGGGCAGGGGCAGGGAATCACTTTTAATGCCTTCCAAGATGAATGTGTTGGCAGAGGCAATCTAACTCCACCAACTTCCTTGAAAGGGAAAGAATGAGTCAGATATTTTAACACAGCATGCAAATGCCGTTACAGTATGCCAGTCACTAGGCCTCCTCAAAAACTCTCCTTAGAATTGTCTATGTGACCATTGGTCTGAAACATTTTCACTGAATACCATCTTGAAAAAATTATTGTTCTTTCTCTACCAGGCCCCAGTGCTGTTCGATAATCAGCTGCTAATGACTTTACTCTCCAGAGCACGTCATAGCTCTCCTACTGCAACTCCTGTCGTAGATGTAAATCGGAATGGTGGCTTTTCCCCTTCTGTGCGTGGAACAGATTCTGATGGTAGTTGAACTCGTATAAATGTGGAGTAACTACACTGAGAGCTTTAGTGCACTGAACTGAGATCAAAATCTGGTCTTGTGTGTTTTATTGTTTTAAATGTCAAACAGGTGTGTTTGAATTTTTTTTTTAAACTAAACAGCCCCAAATGCCTTTGTAAGCCAGCTCCGTTGGTCACTTGGTATAGAACTACCTGAACATTAAATACTTCCTGTCTTTATAAAATGATTTCTGTGCCATGCCTGAAAGATAATTTCCTATTAAATAGAAATCCATCATTACAACACATGACATGTACCTCTGTAGCCACTGCTTGCTTGTGAGTTTTTCTGCTAGTTTTGACTGCATGATCCAATTTATGCCTCATGTGGCTGTGCAAAGCCCCTTATCTGCATATAAGCCATGCTTGGAAGATCAGCCTGAATAAATATGTTTCACTAGTTTGTTTAATTATACTGGTCAATTCTAACTTTCTTTTGAATTAAAAATGTATTAATTTTTGTCAGATCTCTCTTCTCTCTCCTTCCTACCTCCCTGAATTTCTCCTTTCAGTGTTGTGCCTGCACCAAGACCTTTTGGGTAATGGGGAAAAACAGCTGCAGGAAACTGTTAGGCTTTTCAGGAAATGTGAGACGTTGAACCTGGGGTCTGTCCACCTGGACCAACAATTCAAGGTCAATGTCATCTTCTAACGGGGAAAGAATATCACTTGAAGGAGTGACTCACCTAGTCCAGTGTAAGAAGATTTTAAATCTCATTTGAAACATGATGTGTCTGCTTTAAAGTACAGTCTTGTGAGTTGTTTCATAGCATTGCAGAAAAGACTTTTCATCACAATGCACCTTGCTAGATGTTTCTGGTACTATTCAGATATGTATTGTACCTTCAGCAAAATGCGTGTCCTCTTGTGAGTTTGTGCAGCTCAGTATATTGTATATGATTACACATACACACAGACGCCTCACTTAAAGGTGCAACACACTCACAAAGTCCTGCACATACTCTTTGTGGTCACCAGCTCCTTTTATTCCTCTCATCGACGGGAAGAAGCCCTGGGGCCACTTGAAACCTTTGTTTTTGTTAGATAAAGCTTCTGTTAGTATTGTCATCTAAGATATCACAAATGATTTGGTGGTTCCCTCAGGATACATAAAAGAGTTGGGGCCAATTCTACCCTCACTTATACCTGAGAAAACCCTCTGAGATCAGTGGGATTTTAGAGGGATAACTGAGTTCAGAATTTGGGCCCTGCGTTTTTTCCTCACAGGGACTTCCATGGCTTTCTGCTGAGGTCACTGTAAGTATGTACACCTGCTTGTACATAGGGCTGTCTCCGTTTAAAAACTAGTGCATGGTGCCAGTGGTACCACTGTAGGTAACACTGTAGCACAGATAAGGGGATTTCAGAGCAATAGGTGATATGAAATACACCGGGCAAACTTCTGCTCACCGTTACACAGGCACAAGCCCCACTGAAAATGCAAAGGGCACGGCAGGTGTATAATTAAGAGCAGAATCTGACTTTGTATGCAATTCTGTACCTAGGTATTAAATCCTAGGCACAAGAAGTGAGTAGTAGACTCTGTAGTAACTATAACTCTTAATTTTCTTACTTTTGTTCATTAATAGCTTAACTTTAATTATATAAACTTTTTAATTTTTGTTATAAATATATATTTCTTACTGTTTGATCCACTGTTGTTTTCTCCGTTTTTATGCTCTACGCAGATTTAGTTACGTAGAGATATAAACATACATACCAGGAATACAGTGAGGGGCAAAAGTGCTGAACGCATGGGATACAGAAAGAAAAGCCTGGCCATAACATCAGAACACTCAACAAACCAAAATGTGCTGAACCCGCCGTTTATAGTCCTGGGCATAATATTTCCACGGCAGGGGGGGATTTCAACCAGAAACAACTCTGAAATGGGTCACTTTTGGAAAACAGATACACAATGAAATTGCATCAACTCTAACCAAACACAGACCTTGGAAAAAACAAACAGGCATTACCTAAAATAATTTTTACTCAGATTTCAAGTGTCCCGTTTTACATCCAACTATAGGAAATGTAAAATCTTTCTCTGTAGGAACACTGATTTCTCTCTCTTTCCTGGGCCCTTTTTGTTCTAGTTTTGGACCTACTTCTCCTCTCATGACTTCAATATGAGCAGGAATGGGCTCTCTTCTTTCATGGGCCCCCTTAGACCACCATAATTAAGACATGCTAACACTTCAGCGACTCTAGAAGATTCCTGCCTCGGTTTCATACGGCAATCCCTCCATATTACAATTGTTAGATCCCCTGTGCTAAGTTCTCAGACTTACAGGGGCAGATCCTCAGCTGGAATAAATTATCATAACTTCATTATGGAGCTGTGACAATTTACATAAGCTGAGGATCTGCCCCAAAGCTGATAAGAAAGTATGCAACAGTAAAGGACTTATTCATGGCAAATTATGGTGGAAAATAGACTATAAAAGGATATTCAGTTCGGCAAGTAGGCAGCGTCCCATCATGCAGCTGCATCTAAATTTTATATGAAATACTCCACACAAACAAATCCAGCCTTCTTTCTCATATGGAAAGGCAAGCTGATAGTGGTGATAGCATCAGAAAGACATTGGTACTCTTTACAGTAGTGCTGCACTATAGAAAAGTAGTGAATTCACTTCGCAGTTGTGTTTTCTACTCGCATGCTGGGATGGTGCTAGAAGAGGCCAGTTTGGGTTTCAAATCCCCAGTTTGGGTTTCACCTTTGACTATCATGAGTCAGCCTACCATGCACAATCAGTGCTAGGGCCAGAGTGTCTGGACACTGCAGGGTTTAGCAGGATTCTATTGAAACATCATGTTCACTTTGCCAAGGGCTTCTAAAGGTCCGCAGTGTGGCTGTCCAAAACGTGTGCAAGCTCACAGCATATGAGTCCATCTGAATGAAGAGATGCGTAAGTCCTTTTCTATCTGTTACTCACGCAGATGCTGTTGGCTAACATCTTCCACTGATACATTCAACAGGTAACTAGATAAATCCCAAACTAGAGGTTTGTGTTTCCCCAAAATGGATACTAGCGTTCTCCTTGCAAGGTTATACCTGTATGTATATATTATTCTTTGTTTCCACATGTAGGCATATATTAATATAGAGAAAGAGAGATACGGGGAAACATAGCATATGTGTAGTATATATAATAACTTGCATTGTTATAGCACACATACAGGACCTCTGTCAGTGAACAGTGAGATCTTCCAAGTGACATGCAAAGAAGACTAAAGGTAGCTGATCTCACCTCTTACATGTATCTGTTTTGTTCAATAGCAAATGCATCAGCCGAATAATTTTTCCACTTCAAATCCAGCCCTTTTTATCCTCTGTATTTATTTATTTTTGTAAGGGTTGTGGATCCACTGTTTATTCTCAGGGGACGCTGTCCATTGCAGATATTTCTTTTGTTCGAGAAACGGCACTTCCTACTAGATGGAGACGGGGCACAAGATTACTTTGTCCTCCAGAAGGACACTGACGATCAGGAATATGAAATAGAGACCAAACATGGTGAAGCCCAAGAATTTATTCATCCTCCACTTGCAGAGCGCAATGGAGAGGATGACAAAGAGTAGCATAATGAAGAGGAGGACAATAGCACAGAACAATCCATTGCTGCTGACAGTCACTGGGGCGAAGCTGTTAATTGCAGCATACATGAGCCATGGAAAGGGAAGGCTGAAAAACACAAAGAGAAATTGGAAATGCCATAGAGAAACAAAAAGTGGTATTAAGAATGCTCTGGAGGTACTTCAACATAAAGCTGTTGATTTAAACATAACGAAGCCCATCTGATAGGCTAGTGCAGGGACACAGTAAGAGTGGCATTAGGTAACATACTAAAAAGAACAATTCTGTACTGGGTCCTGAGGGAGGGACTAGACTGGGCTGAGCAGCAGGTGTGACTAGGCCGACACACACCCTGTTTCTCAGCAGCAACCTCCAGCAGAGGCCAAGGCACAAATTGGCAGGTTGCAGAAGACTGGGCCCAGTGTACAAAGTGGTGAGGAGAATGGGATTGCCTATTTTTTGTGCCTGCACAGCACCTAACACAATGCAGTCCTTTGGGCACTTCCAAAATATAAATATTTACCACTACTTTTCTGCTGCCCTCTCCACTGTTGGGAGGTCTGCAGCTGATGAGTGGGCAGGGAATTAAGGTAAATGAACATGCTCCCAAGTTCTCCTATACTTTCTTGACTCTCTTTTATCATTTCCCCCAATCTTCTCTCTGATCCCTACTCAGGCTATTCCAATCACAAGACTCCACAAAGGGTGAAGGACCAGGCTCTCATAACTTGTGTGGAAGAAAACAGAGTCTTCACTCTTATTTTGGAAGCAACAAAATCAGAGACAGCTTTATCCGAGCAATTGCAAGGGAAGAATACAGCTGACAGAGAGCATCTCTGCTTCAGTTTCTCTGAAATACAAGCAATATCACACAAGCATTTATACTCTTTTGTGGCACGCATTAATTGAAAACATCTACATTTTGTTTATATTATGTCCTGTCTAATCCAGCATTTTCTCACTTTCACTTCTCAAAACATCATTATCTCAAGGATAGGTCACACTGACTCTGCGCTGCTGTTTTCCCACCTGCTTCCTCCTGTGACAGGGTAATATTCTATCAGCCAAATACTCTCAGCTTCAGTATGCTGTTTGTCAGGGGTCTGATACACAGCACATTTTACGGGACAAGGATCTGCCTAAAGAATTCCCAGAATTTTTTAGCAAAACACTTCACATGCCAGAAAGTGAGTGTGCAACAATATAGGAATGTCCCATTGAACTGCAAAAAGCAGAATTTGGCCTTTTACATGTACTCATCTGGAGGTGTGGGGAAGAGGATTGTGCCTCTTACCCTGCATTAACTATAATTTTACCCAAAACACTTAGTGGGGAATGGTGGTATATGTTTGTTCCTATGAGTCAGTACAGAAATGGAAGTTCTTGTATGGCGATGACTCAATCCCACGGTTTGTATAGTCTCCACTCAAATACAATTTTAAGTTTCTCCCATGACAGCACTTTATCTTGTTAAAAGAAACTACACTTTATGGGTCATATTCTTTCCTCAGCAATGCTGGTGTAACTCAGTTGATATCAGTGACGTTGAACCGGAGGACGTCAATGAGAGGAGCATTTGGCTCAATAACCTGCTATTTTCACATTAGATTCAATCTGATTATCAAAAATATAATGTGAAATCTCCTCCTGCTGACATCTGACGGCAAACAAATAACTTTGGGGATGGTGCTATTAGAGGTGGCCAGATTCTCAGTTCTTATTCTTAGGGCAGAGATGGGGGCGCAAAGGTGACTTTAACCTCCTCCCCCACATCCTGTATTCTGAGGCAGCCAGGAACCTGCCTGGCCCTGATGTAAGTTAAAACAGCTTCAAGGAGCCTTTAACTTGTGCTCAGCTTCCTGTGGTCCCGATGGGGGCAAACAATGCATTACACCTGTCCATACCCCTGATCACCATTATACCAGGGGCTGGAAGCAGGGCTGGTGTAGAACCCTTTTGCTCTATAGGGACGCCCCCTGCACAGAGTGTATTCTCATTGTGCCATTTCTGCCCACTTTAAGGCCTCCTTACACTGTCAGAACTATGTGAAGGGGCCTTAGAGTAACAGAATCAGTGCCTGTATGTCTGGATTAGTCAGGATTTATCTGGAGGGTGGAACACTCAGTGGTACAGACTACAGCTGGGCAGGCACTGCAAGAACAAAAAAGCATTCATGATCACTGATCACACAGACAGTTGTAGTTTGGAAACAGTGAACAAAAGGGACCAAATCCCAAACTGCTGACTAAAGCAAAGCATGCTTTAAATATGACACCTGCAACAATATTCTTAAATATTTTTAAAATGTGAAATTTACCTGACTGAATGGTTCCTTAAACAAACAAAACAAACACACAAACAGCAAATTGGAGGCTCATCCAATTGATTTATAACAAGCTTATTTAACAAATATTCACTTTTGACCTGATTATACAGTAACCTTGATACAAATCAAGAAAAACGGTAAAGCATGTTGCACGTGTAAGATACTGTATATTGAAATCTTCTATTTCTGTTACATGCAAAAGAACAGAAAGTAATGGTAGCCAACACTATGACAAAACAATGTAAGTTTTTATAACTTAGCCATAATTATCTTTGTGCAGTACTTACCCCACTGTGATGTCAAAGATGTTGCTTCCAACAGAGCTGGATACTGCCATATCACCTAGGCCTTTTCGTGCCACAATAACACTGGTAATTAGGTCAGGGATAGAGGTGCCTGCAGCTAACATAGTCAATCCCATGATTTCTTCACTAATGCCAATGGTCTCACCAACCTAAAAAGTATTGAGAAAAGTACAAAAGAATACAGAGAGGTCATGAGAGGAATGGGCGTTCTTTGCTGTAAATTTGGTTAAAATGGAAAATCACTTAGGGGTATATTCTAGCCTCAATCTTTGGTAGTATGCCGATGGAAAGAGAGTAGAATATGCTCCCAAGTTTTTGGAACATGACATTTTTTAGTTTTGGAATTAAATCATCAATATGACCCTACTGACGGAGTGACTTTCCTAATACTTACTGCTAGTAGGGAGAAAAAGAACATATTTATATTATCAGTGAAGCAGTCAGTATGGGGAGAAGTGGTTGGTTGCTTCTTTAGGGCCAGATTCTGCCCTGAGTTGCATGAGTATGTTCATGGGATGTAAGAGGAGAGGGGTCTGTAGGTAGAAGGGCATAAGATCTATGTGCTAATGACAGTACGTTGCTATTGTGCCTGCCAGTGCCTCACAGCCCCAGATGAGCATTTCCCGCCAGTATGGGCATGTGGTTAGACCCTCAGCTGGCTAACATGTTTTGCAGGGTCCTGGATGTGCTAGTAGGATATGCACACTGCTGTTTTTAAGGGTGCAACAGAATGCATATCCTACTGCTTTATTCTACCCTGAGCCATCCTACCTTGTGCTGGCAAGATGGCTCTAGGACCCACCACACAGCTAATAAAACTTTACTCCTCCTCCTTGACAACCATGGCTTCAGCAGCTAAGGGCAGCCCTTAGCTTCCAAGTTGTACAGGCAGGGTCTTTGCTTTTAGTTGTGTGTAGCTTTACTGAAGTACAGTGGCATTTAAACCTACTGCATTAGATAAATAATAAGAAATTACTAGTGTGACCAATTCTTTATAAGTCTCATAAGGCAAACCATCCCCACTAATGGCAACATCAGGGTTTACAATAGAATTTCAACTGGAGCTTGCAGGGGTTGAATCAAGCTACATGGTTCAGCAGGTGTATCCCTCAGAAACCGAACACTGCATGATTTGCCGAGCTCTGGTTTTCAGACAAGAAGAAACACTTAAGAAAAATATGAGGCCAAGGAAAATGACACTAAAAATTAGACAAACAATGCGGAAACAGGCAAAAAGACAGGAAAAAATGAATAAAAATCAGCACTATGGAAAAGCTATTTCGTTTTGTAGGTCACTTTTACAAGGATTCAACTCACTCAAATGTATTTCGATTAGGGCTGAATCCTACAAAAAGACAAAAATCTCCATTGAGTTCAATGGGAGTTTTGCCTGAGGAGGGACAGCAGGAACTGGGCTATTGTTAAGGATGAAATTCTCCCCAGCAAGCATGCAGGGCCTTTGGAAGACTCTTTGCTCCAAGTAAGCCCTATGATGTTACTGTCAGGTGAGAGGGGTCATGGACAGAGTGACTGAGGAAGGGGTCTACATGCTAAGCCCATATAGGCCTTTGCATCATAGTTCCAGGCTAAAGAGGAATAGCCCATATAAGATTTTCAAAGATGCATTATTTACATAGCTATCAGTGAATGGTTGTTGCTGGTTCTAATGCGAACAGAATGATCAAATGTTTATCAGCAAAGTGTAAAGAATCCACCTCTTTCAGGGCCACCTTTCCAGACACTGAGTAGTACCTTACTCTGAGAATCATTCCAGCTTGCAGAATAAGGGGCTACTCAGTATGTGGTAGGATTGCAGAATCTGGCCCTAAATGACTAGTCACAAACTGAGACACATTGGAAAGCTTACATTTCACACCATTATCATTCTCGTACCTGATGTGCCCACCAGACCATTAAATAAGAAAAAACTGCTATCCAAGTGATTGCTCCAAAGAATGTGACAGGAAAAAATTTCCTGGAGGACTGAAAGAGAAATAAAACAGAAATAGTGGGCATTTATGTTAAATATTGACCAATGAATATATAGTCCCTAAACAAATTCAAAATGACAAACATAGTGATCTAAGAAAGTTAGAAGAGGGTTAAGTAGCTGAACCTCTGCATGCCCTAATCTTGCAGATCTTATACAGGCAAACCTCCCACTGACTTCAATAGGAAAATAGCCTACGTCAGGATTGTAATATCAGACCTGGTCATACCGAATAGTGAATATTGGTTTGCCATTCATTTTGTATATTCTTAGGTTGAAATTTGCTTCCGTGCTTTACTGAATCATGGTCTTGGCTCTGAATTTACTAAAATAACTTTTATTCATAAAGAATCAGTTTGAAAGTGGAAAACAGCTGTAACAGGCTATGATATTCTTTAGAGCCATTTTCCACTTTTGAAGTGATTCCTTGTGAATAAAAGTTATTCATATTCAAGCTAGTCCTTACCTTGAGGTCTCAAAGAATGAGTATCATTACCCCTGTTTTACAGATGGGGAAACGGAGGCATGGGAGGTTAAGTGATTTGCTCAAAGTAATCCAGCAGCCTAGAGATGGAAATTGAAACTAGGTCTTCTGAATGCAGGCCAGTACCCCATCCTCAAAGCCATGTGCACACACTCAAAATATGCTAGGTACAATTAATATAAAAGGTTACTGTTTGCCAACAAACTCTATAGTGAGAATGTATTTTTTGTACAGTCAGCACCACAAAGGTTGCTGCAGTCCAGAACGATAAAGAGGTACATTTTGAAGTTTTTAGCTCGTCATATTTTGCTTGGAAAAATAACCCTTTTTATTTTCAATTAATGTGGTAGGATGCAATTAAGATGTACTCATTACTGTGGAACCCCTTTGCTTTGTTTTGTAGAGAGGTTTGTTATAAAAGAAAGGTAAACCTGTACACACAATAATGTCTTTGAAGCCCATTAATGAGTTCCAAAAGCTGTATCACACCAAAGCAGATTCATTTTTAATTAGGATTTCTCCTTTACTAATGTCAAGCTTTGAATGACCAGTATTCTCATAATAAATTAATGGGTTATATTAAAATTCATGACCTATTTTGGTCTCTGTGCCTTTCAGTGTCATTCAACACCCCCACTGCCTTTTTAAGCCAGTTATACCTGTTTAAAAGGGAGAGCTTAAGTTAACTAGTTTGGCAGGGTTAATCTTGATTGTGATTCCGTTTGGAATAATCACAGTGTAAATCAAATTATGGCTTGAGACTAAATTTGTATTGTGAATGAATGCTTCAGCATTTGGTATTGCAGGCACAGCATGCTGAAAAATCAGAGAGGGCAGTGCAGAATGGGGAAGAACGCTGGCAACATGTGCCCTCAAGAAGAAGGAAGAGAAGAACCCATGTGCCCCCAATGCAGATAGAGGCAAGAAACCGTTTTCAGGCTCTCTGCACAGGTACTACAGTGGAGAATGGTTTGGAACAGTCATCTGAGGGAAGGGATCAGAAGGAGACCCCATCAACCAGAAGGCCTGAGATGCATTGTCCTACGGATGTGGGTTCCATGACCACCCCTCCCAAGAGGAGGAGAAGGGTGGTGGTGGTCAGGGACTCCCTCTTAAGGGGGATGGAGTTATCCATCTTCCATCCAGACTGAGAAACTCGAGAAGTGTGCTGCTTGCCTGGAGCTAGAATTCAGGATGTGATGGAGTGTCTGCTGAGACTGATCAAGCCCTCGGACCGCTACCCCTTCCTACGCCTTCATGTGGGCACCAATGATACTGCCAAGAATGACCTTGAGTGGGTCACTGCAGACTACGTGGCTCTGGGAAGAAGGATAAAGGAATTTGAGGTTCAAGTTGTGTTCTCGTCCATCCCCCCGTTGAAGGAAAAGTCCCAGGTAGGGATCATTGAATTGTGGAGGTAAATGCGTGGTTGCGCAGGTGGTGTTGCAAAGAGGGCTTTGGATTCTTTGACCGTGGGATGTTGTTCAAGGTAGAAGGATTGCTAGGAAGAGATGGGATCCACCTAATGAAGAGAGGGAAGAGCATCTTCTCAGGCAGGCTTGCTAACTTAGTGAGGAGGGCTTTAAACTGGGTTCGCTGGGGGATGGAGACCTAAGCCCTGTGGTAAGTGGGGAAGTGGGATACTGGGAGGAAACACAAGGAGGAGGGTGCAATAGGGGAGGCTGCCTGGTTCAAACTGAGAAAGTAGGGCAATCGGCTAGTTATCTTAGGTGCCTGTACATGAATGCAAGAAGCCTGGGAAACAAGCAGGAAGAATTGGAAGTCCTGGAACAGTCAATGAACTATGATGTGACTGGAATAATAGAGTCTTGGTGGGGTAACTCACATGACTGGAGCACTGTCATGGATGGGTATAAACTGTTCAGGAAGGACTGGCAGGGGAGAAAAGGTGGCGGTGTTGCACTATATGTAAGAGAGCAGAATGATTGCTCAGAGTTCCAGTATGAAACTGGAGAAAAGCCTGTTGAGTGTCTTTGGGTTAAGTTTAGAGGTGAGAGCAACAAGGGAGATGTCATGGTGGCCACCTGCTATAGACCACCAGACCAGGAGAATGAGGTAGACGAGGCTTTCTCTGGACAACTAACAGAAGTTTCCAGATCACAGGCCCTGGTTCTCATGGGGGACTTCAATCACCCTGACATCTGCTGGAAGAGCAATACAGCAGTGTACAGACAATCCAGGAAGTTTCTGGAGAGTGTTGGGGACAACTTCCTGGTGCAAGTACAGGAGGAACCAACTAGGGGCCATGCTCCTCTTGACGTGCTGCTTACAAACAGGAAAGAATTGGTAGGGGAAATAGAATTGGGTGGTAACCTGGGCAGCAGTGACCATGAGATGGTCAAGTTCAGGATCCTGACAAAAGGAAGAAAGGAGAGCAGCAGAATATGGACCCTGGACTTCAGAAAAGCAGACTTAGACTCCTTCAGGGAACTGATAGGCAGGATCCCCTGGGAGGCCAATATGAGGGGGAAAGTAGTCCAGGAGAGTTGGCTGTATTTTAAAGAAGCCTTATTGAGGGTGCAGGAACAAACCACCCCGATGTGCAGAAAGAATAGCAAATGGCAGGCGACCAGCTTGGCTTAACAGAGAAACTTTCGGTGAGTTTAATCACAAAAAGAAAGCTTACAAGAAGTGGAAACTTGGACAGATGACTAGGGAGGAGTATGCAGCGGTGTAGTCAGGAAGGTCAAAGCACAATTGGAGCTGCAGCTAGCAAGGGATGTGAAGGGTAACAAGAAGGGTTTCTACAGGGATGTTAGCAACAAGAAGAAGGTCAGGGAAAGTGTGGAACCCTTACTGAATGGGGGAGGCAACCCAGTAACTGATGATGTGGAAAAAGCTGAAGTACTCAATGCCTTTTTTGCCTTGGTCTTCACAGAGAAGGTCAGCTCCCAGACTGCTACACAGGGCAGCATAATATGGGGAGGAGGTGAGCCGCCCTCAGCGGTGAAAGAACAGGACTATTTAGAAAAGGACTATTTAGAAAAGCTGGACATGCACAAGTCCATGGGTCCAGATCTAATGCATTCAAGGGTGCTGAGGGAGTTGGCTGATGAGATTGCAGAGCCATTGGCCATTATCTTTGAAAAATCGTGGTGATCGGGGAAGGTCCTGGACAATTGGAAAAAGGCAAATATAGTGCCCATCTTTAAAAAAGGGAAGAAGGAGAACCCGGGGAACTACACACCGGTCAGCCTCACCTCAGTCCCTTGAAAAATCTTGGAGCAGGTCCTCAAGGAATCCATTTTGAAGCACTGCAAGGAGAGGAAGGTGATCAGGAACAGTCAACATGGATTCACCAAGGGCAAGTCATGCCCGACCAACCTGACTGCCTTCTATGATGAGATAACTGGCGCTGTGGATAGTGGTGGATGTGATATACCTTGACTTTAGCAAAGCTTTTGATATGGTCTCCCGCAGTATTCTTGCCAGCAAGTTAAAGAAGTATGGATTGGATGAATGGATTATAAGGTGGATGGAAAGCTGGCTAGATCGTCAGGCTCAATGGGTAGTGATCAACGGCTCAATGTCTAGCTGGCAGCCGGTATCAAGCGGAGTGCTCCAGGGGTTGGTCCTGGGGCTGGTTTTGTTCAACAGCTTCATTAATGATCTGGATGATGGGATGGATTGCACCCTCAGCGAGTTCATAGATGACACTAAGCTGGGGGGGCAGGAAGGGAGGTAGATACGCTGGAGGGTAGGGATAGGGTCCAGAGTGACCTAGACAAATTGGAGGATTGGGCCAAAAGAAATCTGATGAGGTTCAACAAGGACAAGTGCAGAGTTCTGCACTTAGGATGGAAGAATCCTATGCACAGCTACAGGCTGGGGACCAACTGGCCAACTGGCAGTTCTGCAGAAAAGGACCTGGGGATTACAGTGGATGAGAAGCTGGATATGAGTCAGCAGTGTGCCCTTGTTGCCAAGAAGGCTAACGGCATATTGGGCTGCATTAGTAGGAGTGTTGCCAGCAGATGGAGGGAAGTGATTATTCCCCTCTATTCAGCACTGGTGAGGTCACATCTGGAGTACTGCATCCAGTTTTGGGCCCCCCACTACAGAAAGTATGTGGACAAATTGGAGAGAGTCCAGCGGAGGGGAACAAAAATTATTAGGGGGCTGGGGCACATGACTTATGAAGAAAGGCTGGGGGAACAGACTTATTTAGTCTCCAGAAGAGAAGAGTATGTGTGTCCGGGGATTTGATAGTGGTCTACCTGAAGACAGGTTCCAAAGAGGATGGACCTCAGCTGTTCTCAGTGGTAGCAGATGACAGAACAAGGAGCAATGGTTGCAAGTTACAGTGGGGGTGATCTAGGTTGGATATTAGGAAACACTATTTCACTAGGAGGGTGGTGAAGCACTGGAATGGGTTACCTAGGGAGGTGGTGGAATCTCCATCCTTAGAGGTTTCTAAGGCCTGGCTTGACAACGCCCTAGCTGGGATGATTTAGTTGGGTTTAGTCCTGTTTTGAGCAGAGGGTTGGC